GGGATGCGTAGTCTGTGTATTTTAGTTGACGGCACATAATGGTGATTGGATATGAACTTTGGGTTGATTCAAATTTAGAGGTTCGCATATTTTGGTTTATTTGATGGTTTGTAATGTGTATTTTGGTCTATGTGGTGGTACGTAATATGTATTTTGGTTTACACAATGGTTTGCATATTTTGGTTTATATGGTGGTTTGCAATATGTATTTTACTTTATGTGGTGGTACGTAACATGTATTTTGGTTTATGTGATGGTACGTAATATGTATTTTGATTTACACAGTGATTTGCATATTTTGGTTTATATGGTGGTATGTAATATGTTCTTGAACTGTCATTCTTGAAAAATGAAATATCTAGCATCGAGATTCACAGCTATGTAATGTCGATAATGATATATCGAACGTTAGGAAATCGTTAAAATGTAGAGAAATCTTCTCTTTTGGTCCAAGTGTCGTTCTAGACAACTGTAATGTTAAGTGTCGAGAGTAACAACTATTTAATGTGGACAACAATGTTTCAAATGTCGAGAATGGCATCAAATGTCAAGATAAATACGATCCAACCAATTTTAATGGAGAGTGAAGACAACCAATTGGAGTATTAACTGCAAAAACTATAACAAACAAGTTTATAATTACTATAACAATTAAAATTGGTATGCCAAGCACAAGTACATTCTCAACTATATTGATGTGAAAAAAAGTTATAAAATAGTCACCATAAATGACTTCAACCATATTGGTTGGTGAGATATCTTCTCATGCATTCAACAGACAAGTGTTTCTCCACTATAAAAGGCTGGACTTTACTTGAATATGCACAGATGAGAATTTAATAAATTTATAGCACTAGTTAGTTTTTCCATTGATTATGTCTTCACCAACTCAACATACTCCTTTTATTAATGTTACTATCACTTTCGACCCCCTCGGGTCGTTCGCGGACAACCTAATCATCATAGACTTGGACTCGGATGATGAAAGCAATGTCTTTGTTCGATATGTTCGTCAACTTTCGAACCGCCATCGTAGGGTTTGCCTTCAACCCATTTCTTTTCCGAATCTAATCGAAGAAATTGAACCAATTCAAGTTCATCGTGAAATCTTCCCACTAGAGGTCCAACCGGAAGCACATCATGTGTTGATGGATGAAAATGTTGGAGCAGTTCCCGTCAAAAATGAAGACATGATCATCATAAGCTCCGACGAGGAGTATAACAGTAATATATCCTCTTTGTCCGTGGTAGAGGATATGTAGAAGATGCAATCATCGTAAGTGAAATGTTTACGTACATATACTAGTGCTATAAAATCCATATAGGTGATGGATATTTTTTGGGGTGATCACCATTTTGTATAATAGTTGTCTACGATATGCATTGGAGTTATGACTTCCTTTTGTTGTGATTACTATTTTATCTACTCCAATGACTTAGGAAAACGATTCATTCATGGGTTGCTTTTGTATCAATTATCACATTGTGTTTACAATGATTAAGAAAATTCCAGTGATGAATTAGATATATGATTATTCACTTATATGATGAACGAAATGATATTGTGATGAAATACTCATATAAATATATGTGATTATCATTTCCCTTGTTTTTAGTTATACCCCAAACCTGGACTTTCTTGTTTGTATCCATTACGACATTCTAAAATTAAGTCTTGTTTCTACTTGGTGAAATGCCTATACGAATTTTCCTGTTCGTGCGCTATAAAATTTTGAACGATAAGGATAATATAAGAGAAAAATCACAAAAAAAAGGGATGAATCCGTATAAAGGATTCATAATGTATTACGAACTTAGTTTTAGAATAAGCAATTGCAAATAAGTGCTATGAAGAGAAAATGAAGAAAGAAACAGGAAGAAGTAAAAGTCAAAAATATATTCAACAACATTCAAAATAAGAGATGAACAACTAAGATAGAAAGCAAGTAATAAAAAAAATAAATTCAAAACATTGATAATTCCTAGGCATTTGATGAACGGAATACATAATGTCATTCAAGTATACGCGTCACTTAAAGGTTTCAAATTCTGACATGTTTGCCTGTTATGTCCAGAACCCCACATCGACCGTATTTTCGTGTCAAAGTCGACCTTTTAGCTCTCGGACTGAGGAATAAACCCAATTCGACCAACGGGGTGAAGTACTTCTTTGTACGCAGCTTGCCAACATTCTGTGGTATAGTAAGGGGAGCTTAAATTATACAATGATTTTATTTTTGACCAAGTAGCTCGGGATGCATGTGAACATGGGATTTATCATATCTGAAACTCTCGACATGAACATGTGTTACCTATAAGGTCGACAGTACAAAGTTCGATAATTACACCTATCTCAAAAACGAGGTCGTCCAAATTTCGTACTGGAAAGGTTTCACCGGCGTCGAATGATTTTCTCAATTTATTATCAATTTTTGGTGTCACGATCATATTACATTTGGTGAATGCTCTTTTTCTCTCGTAGAATCATTGTTGCATCAACAACGTAATATTTTCGACCAAACCTTGTAATTGCCCACTTATTGCTCTTTTTCCATTCCGACAAAAACACTATCTGGTTTGAATCATCAACATTTTTCAACTTCGCAAAGAACTAATATCACAATACATTTGTTTCCCCATCGACAACACCCTAAAGAAGAGAATATATTTGTAGGTTAGCATCTTGCGCAGCAGCTACTAGTAGTGTTTCCTTATACTGGCCCTTCAAATGACTTCCATCAACACAAATTACTTGCCTCATGTACTCTCGAAAATCACGTACACTTAGCTCGAACGCTAAGAAGAAGTACAAGAACCTGTTATTCAAGTCGAGTTCAATGTGTGCAATAGTTCTTGGATTTTTCTCGGTTAACAAGTGACAGTATGATGGCGATTTCTGAAAACTTTCTTCGGGTGTACCACGAAGAAATCGAAGTTCCTTCTCTTTAGCCCTCCACCATTTGTTGTAGGTAATCCGTACACTAAACTCACGTTCCATATCCCCAATAATACTAGCAGGAATGTATGATTGGTTTGTATCGTCCAACCTTCGCATTATGTGATGCACAATTATTGCACTTGTTGCGTGAATTTGTGCATTTCGTCGAACGTTTAAATAACATGTGTGCTCAGGTATGTACTTTTGTATCTTAAACATTTTTGAAGTTTTTATCTTAGAAGCTCGCATTAGCCAATGGCATGTAGTATTGACACAACACATAGTAAGAGATCTAAGATTCGACTTTTTAACCTTGAAATGAAACTTCTCTTTCAAAGCCTTAAGTTGAAGCCTTGTGTGTAACCGTTGCTTGCTAAAGAATATCTGATTCTTCATAATGTCCTCTTCATCAATCGACTGAATTGCATTTTGAATAAACAAATTTCCTTCGCTTAAACCTTCATCCGTATTATCAATCGTTCGTGGTTCTTGTAGTTCGCACATACCGACTTCGTCGCGTTCACGCAACGTATCTTCTATTGGTGAGAAAGGGTAAACTCCGACATGCAGTTCGTGCTCTCTAGCATTATATTCATCTACAATTACACACAACACCGCTTCTGTGTGAACAATAAAAAACCATTGCATATCCTCATCGTCGACTACATCAGCATGGGGTATATTCATGTTTGGAATTGTAAATTTCATTTGAATTCTGAACTTCATTCTGTCAACTTTAGCTTCTCGAATAATTTATGTACAAGCTCTTCATATGTAATATCATGTCGAACAACAATTGATGTTGTTCGGTTTCTAACCACTTCCACCCATTGTCCATGTTGACGAATCTACGACCATACGAGACAACAAAGCTCTTAACATCTCCTATAGCTGCATGTCATAAACAAAAATAATGCCAGCCACTAATGAAAATCGAAAACGAAGATGCTACCTGCATGCAATATGTGAAACGTTATACACGAAATTTTCCTAACTTAGTCAAGTTTTTAATATTATTGTCGACATTTGATAGTGTCGAGAATGATAGTATAAATATCATTTTTGACGTTTATAAATGTCTAGAATGACATTTATACTATCATTATCGACATTTCTAAAATGTCGAGAATGACATGACGGGATTCCATGCATTTATCACCTTCTTCAACTTCAACCACCATTTTTGCAAAAAAATTATTCCACCATAAAAGATATTCTAAATACAGAAGTATATTATTTAACTAAATTATTTAAGATGAAAGGTACAACAAATATCTACTCAGTGTTTGGATAATTTCATCCATTGAAGTGAAAAATACCTTATCAAAAATTTGAGATTTGAACATATATAACAACAACTACTAAATACAGCTTATAAAAAAATGAGAGTTCAAAGAAATATACATTCGACCGAGAAATGATGAGAGCCTAATCAACTTCAAATTTTGACGACAGTAAATTTCTTCACATAAAATAAAATGATTTCTTTGGAGTTGGAATCATATACTTGTATGTGTTAATGAAATTTCTATTTCTTCTTAATTTGTTCTAGAATAATTGATCAAAATCTAATTAAAAATGTAGATAAGTTGACTCACCTAGGTAATAGCAACATTATTGTGGCTTCTTATAGAAGTTATTTGCTTTTCTAAAAAATTGTGTCAAATTGATATAAAATTGATTAATCCTTTCACGACGGTAAAGTAGACAATTTGGTATGGAAATTGGACATTTTTACAAGGATTATCAAAATATGACACTTTTCAACTCATACCCCTTAAATTGAACATTCTTGAAAATGCCTCTATTTCTTTAACGAAGTACAAATTATTTTTTTAAATTTTTTTTCGTTGTAAAAATATTCATATTCTAATTGACAAATGCTGGGATGCATTTGTTACCAAAAGAAATTGTTGAAAAAATAATTGCTATTTGGCCAAAGGATATAGAAAAAAGGTGGAAAAAATAAAAAAGAAAAAAATGGAACAAATAAAACCGTAATTACTGAAAAAATTAGAGGACAAGTTAGTCATATCACTCATATGATACCTAACTAAAACCCTGGATCCTTTCCTTGGTGTGTCAGTGTGTCAGTATCCGCCTCACTCACAAGCCCTAAAGCACGCCAAATCCGACCAAATTCAGAGGGGAAAAAAAAGGAGAAATGGGAGTGTTCACGTTCGTGTGCAGGAGTTCAGATGACGAGTGGACGGCTAAGCAGCTGAACGGCGAGCTGGAGTCGTCCGCTGGCTCCAACTTCGAGCTGCAGCGCAAGCTAGTCCAAGCCGCCCTCTCGGTTGACTCCTCCGGTGCCGTCCAGTCCTCTTTCTCTTACGTCACACCTTCCTCCGCCGTTTTCCAGGTTTCTTTGTATATTGAATTATATATATATTTTTTATCTTTACTCGTAACTTAATTATTCGATGAGTGTAGATCTGATTGATATGCGTCATTCCCTCTATTTTGTGTTTGGGTCTAGTGTGGCAAGTATAAGACTTTATTGCGAAGCGAGCAACACTAACGTGTGTACATTTGGCTTCGGAAAGTTCTACCTTTCTATTGCAGGAATTATAATTTACTATTTGTGTTCTTTTCCTTGTTCAACGTGTGTTCAGTTGTGTCATTAAACCCCGAATTCTCATTATTTTATAGTGTGAAAATCTTGTGTTATAGTCGAATTTTCTAGAACTCTTGTTAGGTTCGTCCTAGGGATGCTTGTGTTGCAGTATATAATTGAATCTGTTGCAATGGCACAGGTGATTATTGGTGGTGCTGTTGGTGGTGGTGCATTCATTGGAGGAGGTGGAGCTGCAGCAGCTGCTGCTCCTGCTGCTGGCGATGCAGCTGAGGCACCTGCTGCTGAGGAGAAGAAGGAAGAGAAAGAGGAAAGTGACGATGACATGGGATTCTCTCTCTTTGATTAGTATAATTTTTTCACATTGTTGCCTACTGAATGTTACTACTTGGTTAAGCTGGAATTTTGATTATATGAATTATGGGTTTATAGACACTGCTTGCTTTTATTGGGTATTGAATATCTATGGTAAAAGATTGTTTATGCTTAACTGCATTTTCCCGTAGAATTTACCCCTGTATAAATTTGTGTGGCCATTTATATGCATTTTCCTTTTGCCTTGTATAGGCTCTCAGCCTCCTTTTTCGATTTTTTGTTTTTTTGCTTGGGGGCTGTGAAGAAATATTTCAATCTTTATTGTTAGATAGTTAGCAACAGGTGCTTTCATGTTGAATATTCATCCAAGAAACTGCATATTACATACACAGAACTGTATAATCGGCAGGGAATTTGAGAAGATAGGTATAAAGGGGTTAATGAAAAGGTAACCTATCTAATATCTGATATTTCCTTACAGCCTGCATTTTAGCTGTGCCCTTGATGTCTTCTAAGCTCAGCTTGTCTATTGCTTCGCTCTCGCCTCGATTGGTTCAACCCAAAACTTAACTAGAATCTTGAAAACAATTCAATGTTAGGCAGGTGGGCTATTGAAAATATGAAGCGTGAAGTCATTCCAATGCTTAAGTTGTTGGTTGTTTACTACTAGGGAAGGATGATTGATGCCCTGTTTATTTTGAAAAAATACAGTCTAAAATAGTTTTCTTATATCATTTCAACAATCCATTTTTCAATAAAATAATATTATATGCAAATTTAGAACTTTTACATAATTTTTAATCATACATTTTCTATCAATATACTACTCCAAAATATATTCTTCAAAAATAATGCGACTCAAATACACATTGAATTCTGAATTACACTTTTGCATGATGATGTCCTTGAATATATAGGATGGGGTGTAGAGTCGGTAGCTTGTTACAGCAGGAGAGTTACATAGATGCACTATATTTTTTCAATGCCAAGTAGTTGGGATCTTGAGATATACATTTAGTTCTGGAACAATGCTGCAGGTATAGGATTATTTGATAGAAAAATATTACAAACAATAAATATACACATTGAATTCTGAATTACACTTTTGCATGATGATGTCCTTGAATATATAGGATGGGGTGTAGAGTCGGTAGCTTGTTACAGCAGGAGAGTTACATAGATGCACTATATTTTTTCAATGCCAAGTAGTTGGGATCTTGAGATATACATTTAGTTCTGGAACAATGCTGCAGGTATAGGATTATTTGATAGAAAAATATTACAAACAATACATCTGTAATTCCTGGCAAAACATCAGAGTCAATGTCTTCCGCTTTCATCCGACGAGGCAATTCCCAGTCGAATGAGTAAAGAAGATTGGCGAGTGCAAGCTCCACTGTTACAAGTCCTAGAGACATTCCGGGGCAATTTCTTCTACCAGACCCAAATGGGATCAACCCGAAATCCTGCCCTTTGATATCAACAGCACTGTTTAAGAATCTTTCAGGCCAGAATTCCATTGGATTTTCCCAATACTCAGGATCTCTTGCAATGCCCCAAGCATTGATGTAAACTAAGGTTCTGGGCTGGATTTCATATCGCTGTATAATGCAGCTTTTCATTGTTACTCGTGACTTTATTCTCAGTTCTGAACTGCTTATGGCCACTTTAGGACTGACTGGCTCGAGAAATATTAGTTGCTGTGGTCGAAAATGTGGACGTAACTCTCCATACTGTGTCCATGCCTCCCCTCCCAATCCAGCCTTCTAGATGGCCTTGATGATTTCCATGTTAGCACTGTAGATATCGAGGTTTGATTACAATCTTCTTGAATTCAATCTTTCACATCACGAGCAAGCTAATTATGTGATTACAATGAATATCTCTAACCATTACGAATTTTTTGATTAAAAAGAAAATAATAAAATCTAAATCCAGCTGTGGATTACCAAGTCGATAAATCTTCTCTGATAAGTGAAATTGAAGATTAATATTCAATCTTTATTTTGAATAGAAATATGTAATATACAAGGAAAGTAGTACAATACTGGGAGACATAATTTCTCAATGAGCCTTGCCAACAAACCTACTAGGGTACGCATCAAGTTTTCTATATTTTACATTGTTTTGAAAGCTGAAATCATTCATTCATGAGCATTCAAGTACACAAGTAGTTTCTAGGCACAAGACAAAGTGCGTTTTTCTTGTGTACTGTAATTCCTGGCAAAACATCAGAGTCAATGTCTTCCGCTTTCATCCCACGAGGCAATTCCCAGTCGAATGAGTAAAGAAGATTGGCAAGTGCAAGCTCCACTGTTCCAAGTCCTAGAGACATTCCGGGGCTATTTCTTCTACCGGACCCAATTGGGATCAACCCGAAATCCTGACCTTTGATGTCAACAGCACTATTTAAGAATCTTTCAGGCCAGAATTCCATTGGATTTTCCCAATACCCAGGATCTCTTGCAATGCCCCATGCATTGATGTAAACTAAGGTTCTGGGTTGGATTTCATATCCCTCTATAATGCATGAAATTGTAGATTAATATTCAATCTTTATTTTGAATAAAACTATGTAAATACAAGGAAAGTAGTACAATACTGGGAGACATAATTTCCCAATGAGCCTTGCCAACAAACCTACTAGGGTACGCATCAAGTTTTCTATATTTTACATTGTTTTGAAAGCTGAAATCATTCATTCATGAGCATTCAAGTACCCAAGTAGTTTCTAGGCACAAGACAAAGTGCGTTTTTCTTGTGTACTGTAATTCCTGGCAAAACATCAGAGTCAATGTCTTCCGCTTTCATCCGACGAGGCAATTCCCAGTCGAATGAGTAAAGAAGATTGGCGAGTGCAAGCTCCACTGTTACAAGTCCTAGAGACATTCCGGGGCAATTTCTTCTACCAGACCCAAATGGGATCAACCCGAAATCCTGCCCTTTGATATCAACAGCACTGTTTAAGAATCTTTCAGGCCAGAATTCCATTGGATTTTCCCAATACTCAGGATCTCTTGCAATGCCCCAAGCATTGATGTAAACTAAGGTTCTGGGCTGGATTTCATATCGCTGTATAATGCAGCTTTTCATTGTTACTCGTGACTTTATTCTCAGTTCTGAACTGCTTATGGCCACTTTAGGACTGACTGGCTCGAGAAATATTAGTTGCTGTGGTCGAAAATGTGGACGTAACTCTCCATACTGTGTCCATGCCTCCCCTCCCAATCCAGCCTTCTAGATGGCCTTGATGATTTCCATGTTAGCACTGTAGATATCGAGGTTTGATTACAATCTTCTTGAATTCAATCTTTCACATCACGAGCAAGCTAATTATGTGATTACAATGAATATCTCTAACCATTACGAATTTTTTGATTAAAAAGAAAATAATAAAATCTAAATCCAGCTGTGGATTACCAAGTCGATAAATCTTCTCTGATAAGTGAAATTGAAGATTAATATTCAATCTTTATTTTGAATAGAAATATGTAATATACAAGGAAAGTAGTACAATACTGGGAGACATAATTTCTCAATGAGCCTTGCCAACAAACCTACTAGGGTACGCATCAAGTTTTCTATATTTTACATTGTTTTGAAAGCTGAAATCATTAGTGAGTGAGCAGTCAAGTACACAAGTAGTTTCTAGGCACAATACAAAGTGCATTTTTCTTCTGTACTGTAATTTCTGACAAAACATCAGAGTCAATGTCTTCCGCTTTCATCCCACGAGGCAATTCCCAGTCGAATGAGTAAAGAAGATTGGCAAGTGCAAGCTCCACTGTTCCAAGTCCTAGAGACATTCCGGGGCTATTTCTTCTACCGGACCCAATTGGGATCAACCCGAAATCCTGACCTTTGATGTCAACAGCACTATTTAAGAATCTTTCAGGCCAGAATTCCATTGGATTTTCCCAATACCCAGGATCTCTTGCAATGCCCCATGCATTGATGTAAACTAAGGTTCTGGGTTGGATTTCATATCCCTCTATAATGCAGCTTTTCATTGTTTCTCTTGGCACTAGAGGTGGAGCTGGAGGGTATAATCTAAAACTCTCCTTTCTTACTGCCTTTAGATAGGGAAGTTTCTCCAAATCATCTTTGTCCACTCGGCCTTTATTTCCGACCTGATATCTGATTTCTGCTTGCACGTTCTTCATCGCATTCGGATTCTTTATCAGGCTTGTCATTGCTCAAATTATTGTTGCTGCACTCGTATCCGTTCCTGCAATAAATATATTCTACCAAGCAGCACTAAAAGTCACTATAAGTTAGTTAATCATTTAAACGTCTAAAGATAAACTTAGTCGTCATCATTATCAAAAGTTGATAAATTACCATCAGTACTGCTTTTATATGATCCAGGGTGAGCTCGACAGCACAAGATTGTTGTTCTTTGAGCTGGATCAAGAGATCAAGAATATCCTTATTCGTTGATTTCGACCTACTAGGCTTCAAGTGCTCGTCGATGAGTTTTTGATAGAATGAATCCAAGTTTTGGAACGTCTTCTCGAGTCGAGTTGCCATACCGGAGAGTTTATCCACCCAACTAAATGAAGGTAAATAATCAGAAACAATTAAGCCACCCAGCATCGCGTCAGCTTGATGCGTAAGTTCATGAAACTTCTTAATTTCTGATTCCTGACCATCAATCTTCTTTCCAAAAGCAATTCTATAAATTAAACTGCTCGTGAAAGTCAATACTGTTTCACTTAAGTTAGTAAGATGACCATGATTTGAACGTGCCAAATCTGAGATCCTTGTGATCATACGAAAAACTTCATCTTCCTGAAGAGAGGTAAAAGATTGCACTTGTTTATTGCTTGAGAAATGAAGAACACAGATTTTTCTAATTTCCCTCCAAGATTCACCATAAGGCGCAAAGGCTACATCCAAGCCATTATAGGATAGCTTTGAAAGCTAATAAATTTAGGCCTGCTACTGAAAGTAAGATCATGGGTTTTAAGTACTTCTTTGGCCATTTTTGCTTAAGAAACCACAAGTACTGGAACAGAACCACGCTTCATGGACATAAGAGGACCATATTTCTTTGCAAGTTGCCATAAATATAGATGAGGAGTGGCAGGAGCAAATTGGAGCAGATTTCCAATGAAGGGGATACCTGGAGGACCTGGTGGAACAAGGTTTTTCTTCACCAATCTTTTCTGGGTCAAAATCAGGAAGAATAAAATAACAGGTAGAGACGGTAGTAGGAAGAATAGGATCATTTTAGTCTTGATTCGGATATGGAAAACTAAAAATGAGAATTTCTGAAAATCACAGTGCCCTTAGTCTATATTGGGTTAGGCATGTATGTGAGATTTTTTCTATATATATACATGGAGATTTCTATTTTCCCAAAAAAAAATATAGGATTTTTGTTTTTATTGCTGACTATTAATAGCTTTGCCAGAATTGTATGTGTGATAAGATCGGAGCACCAATAACATATTGGTTTGAGTCTATCCCTAATCAACTACTTTCCTTTTGTTCGAGTTATGGCTATTGTCGCCTGCCCCACTCGCTTATCGAAAAGTCGCTATTTTTTTTTTAATTCAATAAAGGGTTGTAACATTCTAGAAAATTGCAACGCGGCAATATAAAAATCAGTCTTAAAAAAACTTGTTCTCGATAAGAAAATCTCGTACATAAACGAGTAATTATTGTGTAGTCAAGTTTATTTTGAAACGATTAAACGACTAAGAAATCTCTCAAGATACTTTTTTGTCATACTACAGAGGAATATTAATGGAACTAGGTTAGAAGTACCCACACTAGGAATTATTTTCGTATTTATGTGGATAAAGGAGTACAAATTTATGGGCAGACATGCACTAATTAAAGGATACACCTGGTCCTCTATCATTTCTTTATGCACGTTTTATACTGGCTGCTCTGAAGAATTCAGAAAGAATATGCAATTTAGGACTGCAAAAATAAGTTGCCGCTAAATGTGCTTATCTCACCAGAAGTAACCTTTCCATGAGCGATGATGGATTCACAAGTAATCGTTATAATCCACCCGCTTTACAGTAAAGTCCCCATTTATTCCAACTGAATTCTGCGAAATCAAGTTCTTTACTGGAATTAGCCATCTCTAAATACCCGTCAGAGACGAGGATCCCCCAACCAGGGACACTTGCTCCGATACCATTATTGTAAACGAATGGGGGTGAACTCGTCTTTAAAACCAACTTCTGACGGACGGTGTTTAATGTGCTTACAAATCCAGAAGACAAAACTCCCACATGCAACATGGGATTCAAGAGTAATTGCTGCAGCAATACTCTTTTTGCGTATCTGATCGTTCAACATAAATTCGACCTCATGAACGACAACAAAAATTACAGGAAAAAAACAGAAGCTACCTTCTACTTCACAGGTTGTAGTGTATATGGGGAAGTCAGGAATATTAGATAGCCACGCACGAGAATTATTATTATTATTATTATTTTGGAAAAATATTATCATCTGCAATCTGCACACACCAATATATCCACACATTGGAGTTGTGTGGAAGAATAATATATCGTTTATGTATTCTGAACTTTACATGTTAACCTATTAATATACAGATCGCTTCTGAAGATGGAAGCTGAAATGATAGGTCTGAGGCCAATTGGAGCAAGAATGGAAGCTGCGGATGTATGTGATCTGGATCACTAGGATTCTGATGTTTGAATTTCGGACTGCATATAAAATGTAAGAGAAAATTTATCTTGGAGAATAAACATGCACTATCTCTGAACAAAAACAAAAATTGAACTCGGACAAAAAAAGTCGAATGTATCTATCTCCGCATCTCATTTGTCAAGTTTATGATCCCTTAGAAAGTAGGTCAGTTATATTTATTGAAGAAAAAGAGGTCAAAAAGCTGAGGATGTTCTTGAGTTTGAATAGAGATAAAAAGTCTCATACCTAAAAAAAAAAAAAAAAATGCTGACATTATTTACATTGCCTTGTAGTCAAAGACTGGATTAGAGTCAAAAGCACAAAGATGTGCCAAGCAAGTTCCAAGGTGGCATAAATCATAAATGCCTAGAACTGTATAAGATTGAATTGAACACGGTGACATTGACGTTTGGGTACCAATATGACCATGAGTTTTGCTACACGTACACCGGGTGTACATTCCCCTCACATGGGGGATCCCAAGATTTTTTACAAATAGCATTTTCCATATGAACATATTGCCAATCCCATGTTCCTTCTGACATTCTCAACCAAAAGATCACAAAGAATCATGACAAAACCCTAAAGCCTTTTTGCAGAAGGCAGTAGCGAGGTAGATGGCTAAAAGCCTTTAACTGATACAATATAAGGTAAGACCAGCTTTCTTCGCATGCTCAATTGCCTAGCATACAGAAACTTATAGTGAGTTTAGGCTGAGATTAGGATAAAAGCACTCCTAGACTTGGTCAACTGATGGTTCAACTTAGTAAGAATGTAAAGAAAGATAGTGGGTTTGTACAGAGGTGAAGATCAAAGAGCACAGAGAGATTCTTTTTTCTTACTGGAAATTGTGTTGGTAGTTCTGTAAGAGCAATTTTAGTGTGTTTTTTTAACATAAAGTTATTGCTGCATAACCAGATGGTGAAAGAGATGCATAGGAATTATTTTAAAACATTGTTAAATTAGGAATTGTGTTTTGGAGTATTATTATGGAGATTTTGGAAATAGTGAATATAAAGAGTCAAATAACAAAAAAATTTAAAATCATCACTTCCCCAATGAACCCCTTTCTATAGCAACTGAATTGCAAAGATCCTTGAGCAAACAAGACATTATATGCTAAAAACGAAACAGTTCAACTTTGATGCTTTTTCAACCAAATCAAGATTGCCAATCCTAGAAAGGAAAACTAATATACGGGAAAAGACGAGATGTTTTGTGGAATGTATATTCATCTGTTCACTTCTACATTGACCAGGAATACCAGCGACCGAGATTATTAGGCTGCTTCTAAAACCAGACCTCTGACTTGTCCCCTTTTCGTGTCCAGTGGTGGGAGTAACTATATTCACCAATCATCGTATAACACGGTCGAGAGAGAGGATCTTGACCATATTTGGGTCAGTAAATAAGTTCTC